AATGAAATGAAAGCGATGAATGGATTAATGGATGGATGGACGAATGCAAAATTATGATATATGTAAGAACATATAAGAACCAAGAGAATATGAAGTAAGAGAGCACATCCCTGTTTACCTTGAAAATTTTTTGAAAATCTATTTTTAGCTCCGCGCGCAAGCCTGAGTTATTTCAGCATGCGATTCCTTATTGGTCAGGTTGTAGTGACGTCATGGGTACACAAGAGAGCAGCAGTGACAAGCACACTTTATGCTGTTGACAAACCAAACTTTAATATTCAATTTTGCGAGAAAATGCGTTAGAGGAATTCCTTGAGAAAATCTGAAGGGTTTTCGAAGGAATCCAGAAACCGCACATATAAGAATACTCAGCTGAGACAACATCATTCAAGCTTGTTTTTAAATCAAAACAGTGGTCGTAAGATTGAATTGATTCATTATTTGGAGTTGATTGCAGTTTTAGATGACTATCAGTTGTCCGAAGTTGTCCACAATAGTCCCCTTCACAGTTCCCTGCGCCATCTTGAAAGGTAACTGTGCCTTTGCATCGAAGCGAGACGAACGGTGAGCTTGCAAGGATAGAGACATGTGAATAATTGTTCAAGGTGTTTAAAAAAGGTCTCTATCATTGCAAGCTCACCCTTCGTCTCGCTTCGATGCAAAGGCACGGTTAGCTTTCGAGATGGCGCAGGAAACTGTGAAGAGGACTATTGTCTACCTAAACTAAAATACAGTAAATATTGCTGTATTCCAAGAAGCAGCACTTACTTCTGACTTGAACTTCAATATGTTTTCAAAATGACAAGTTATTTAATGGACATCTAAATTGAAGGTAGATTGGACTCGTTTACGAAAGAGGATTTTCGATGAACAAACTTGTTGAATTCAATAAGTTAAAAGCTCAAAAACTTTAAGCTCGAGAGAAAATTTAGCATTTACTGTTGGAATCAGTTGTTTACCAGTAAAAAGAAGAGTTTTTAAGATAGCTGCAGAAAGTCAACTGCTCGGAAAAGAAGAATTAAACATAAAGGCACAAATACGCCGAACTAAGATCATCTGGCGAAAAATTCGCAAGTAAAATGCCCTTCAAGCAGGTAAAAATAATCTCTTTTTTGTTGGTTTTAATCCTCAAATACTTAGCCTCCTTTGCAGCCGCTGTGAGGCGCTTCCGGTTCCCGTCATTCCCCCACTAGCGTCTTCTCAAACTTGATTAGCATTCCTTTCTTCTTTGTTTTCTATTAGCCAATCAAATTGCTAGGTGATATGCAAATGTTTTATTTTCCCGTGCAAAATGGCATAAGAAAGTTTGCAGTTTATATTTGCACATGTATCACGTAAATGCGGAAAATACGACCAAAAACGTTTCGAATTTTAACGATATATGTTTTATATGTAAGAAAGAGGAATCTAAGAAAAGCCGTACAAGAATATTTGGTAGAAGTCAGTTGGATATTCCATGTATATTAGAAAGACTTGGTGGATTGAAAGACCTTCAAGACTACGCCGAATACAGTACCAAGGTCAAGGTCATAGCCACAAGATTTTGTGGGGCTCTCTCTGATTGGTCAATTTTGAAGAAAGGAATGTTGTTCAAGTTTGAGCAGACGCTAGTGGGGGAATGACGGGAACCGGAAGCGCCTCACGGCGGCTGCAAAGGAGGCTACAAATACTAAGTTTGATTCGCTTTTTGTATTTGGCCGATATTGTTATTGTATTTCTATTATCTGTTGGGGGACTTTAGAAGTTAAAAAGTTATGAAAAAAACCCTGAACGTCGAGGCGGAGCAAAAATTCAAAGTGAAAAATATGAAGGAAAGTTCTAGTTTTAATAGTCAAACTTTTTGATTAATTCACCTCTTCTCAATGGACAATGTCTTTTGCATAAAGTGAAATACCGTATTATGGCAAGCTAAACATATTAAATAATTGTAAAAAAAATCATTTTATTGCTTTTTGTAGCTTTTTCCTCTATTATAACAGAAATCTTTCTCCAGTACATTGAGGTGCAAATAGTTTGTTCTGATTCGTGTGTGAAACAAAATACTCGTCCTGTTCATCATATTCTTAATCAATTGACTTTATTTACAATCGAAAACTCTACGATAAATGCTTTTCTTGATGTCTTCACTGTAGATTCTTTGCTATTTTCATCGCATTTTTTATCGATGTTTCATTCCCTGTCGTCTTCTCTGTTTTTAGCTTGTTCGTATACTGAAAACCATCTTGATTTGAATTTTTTCATTGTTCTTTTACATCAATTGTTAAGTTCAATGTTTAATTCGTCTATGAAGAATACATGATAGTTTAATTTCAACTTTTTACTGATTTTGAAGACATTTTTCTCGTCGGAAACTAAACACTGTTYTCTCACAGTAGAAGATAATATAGGTAAGTTGTAGTGCTTGGGAACGAGGTTATTCCGGGCGAAAGCCCTTGGAATTAAATTCGGAAAAATTAATTTCCAACCTCGCTGGGATTCGAACCCACGACCTTCGGAATTGTACTACCGATGCTCTACCAGCTGAGCTAGAGGTCAGACTGAGAGCAGCCCGGGGTGAAATAGATGTTAGGTCGCGGTAATTATGATGCAAAGATGAGAGTATGTGGACCGCGTGGCACTAATGAAATAGTAGAAGATAATATAGGTAAGTTGTAGTGCTTGGGAACGAGGTTATTCCGTGCGAAAGCCCTTGCAATTAAATTCGGAAAAATTAATTTCCGACCTCGCTGTTCTCTCACATTGAAGTCACTACAACTCTCTCACTACAACAATCGCATGCTAAAAATAGTCCAGGCTTGCGCGCGAAGCTAAAAATAGATTTTCAAAAATCTTTCATGGTTACAGACCCATGTATGGAAAATGTGCTTTCTTACTTAATATTCTCTTGATAAGAACATATGAACAAATGGGCAAATGAAATACCGAATGATGGAGGATAAATGAATGGATAAATCGATTGGTTGGTTACTGTGATAATTAGATTGGTTGGCTTATGGATAAATAGATTGGTTGATTCGGATGGATAAATAGATTGGTTGATTGATGGATAAATTGATTGGTTGATTGATGGATAAATTGATTGGTTGATTGATGGATAAATTGATTGGTTGATTGATTGATGAATAAATTGATTGGTTAATTGATGGATTAATGGATTGGTTGATTGATGAATAAATTGATTGGTTGATTGATGGATAAATAGATTGCCTTGTTGACGGATAAATGAATTGATTTCTCGAATGAATGAATGTATTTTCATATTTCATTTCGTCATAGGGAATGCTGGTGACTCATTGGGCTATCACAGGTGGGCTGCATTCTCCACATTTGATCGAGACACCGGCTGTGCCAACAGATTTAAGGGCGCTTGGTGGTTCGGGAAATGTTTACGCGTAAGTAAATGAAAGAGGTATCTAAGTTATTTCACAAAGACATTCCACAAGAATAATGTTATCTAAAATATACTATTTGACGTCGTTTTAATTTTGGGGCTTACTCACAGATCAAACCCTAACAACAGCCTCTGCACTGATCTAAGTCAGGGCACAGCTTACTCGCAGATTGAACCCTGAAACAACCTCTTGGCTTATCTATAATTCAAGGCACAGCTAACTCACGGATTGAATCCTAAAAAAACAAATTAACTTCTTGGCTGATCTAAGTCAGGGCACGGCTAACTCACAGATTAAACCCTGACACAACCTCTTGGCTGATCTAAGTAAGGGCATGGCTAACTCACAGATTGGACCCTGAAACAACCTCTTGGCTTATCTATAATTCAAGGCACGGCTAACTCACAGATTAAAACCTGACACAAATTGTTGTTTGATATGAGTCAGGGCACGACTAACAGACAGATGAATTGAAATTTAGCATGTTAGGTTTTTCGGAGGAAATATAAAACCCGGGGGGRAAAAACTTGGAGGTGGAGACAAAAAAGGTGGAGACAAAACAAACTCTAAGCACATGTAATAGGGAGTCAAGAAAGGGAAGGAGAATCCCCAGTGTCGTCGAGAGACGATTGCACTAACAATGCATCGCACAAATGTGAAAACTGGAAGATCGAATTCTTTTAAAACAGACTTCGAGCTCTTTATGGGATGTTCCAAATCAGGACAAGACTAACTCAAAGATTGAGCCCTGAAACGACCTCTTGACTGATTCATGGTAGCCAGAGCTGAGCACGTTCAGCTAACTCATAGATTACATCCTCAACAACCTCTAATTTAAGTCAGGGCAAGGGTAATCTTAGTCAGGGCATGGCTAACTCACAGATAGAACCTGAAACAACCTCTGGGCTGATCAAACTCAGGGCATGTCTAATTAGTTAACTTGTTCATTTCAAATCTAGTCGCATCTCAACGGTCAATACCTCGGCCAAAATGTTTCATTCGCTGAAGGCTTACACTGGAGGTCCGTAACTGGACTTTACACATCTCTCAAAAGCGCAGAAATGAAGATACGACCAGTCGGTTTTAAGGGTTAGGCACCTGCTTTTAATTCTAATTCTATTACTGATATAACAAAAGCAACACAACAACAACAGCAACTGCAACAGCATCAGCAACAACACCAACAACAAATGCAGCAACAATAACAGTAACAGCAGCAACAACAGCAACAA